GAGCTCTGGGGGGTCGACATCCCCCTGGTAAGGCGGGCGAGACCGTGAGGCGCATGTGCAATGAGTTTGCACGCTCTGAGGTGTAAAACAGTTGTGGTCAGGGGCTTCCCTCTGGGGATGCAGATGAACCATCTGCAGAGTCGGGGTTGGCACCTGCATTTTGTGCGTGCAACAACGTCCCTTGCAGCTGGAGGGATCCGGGCAGGGCAGCCCAGAGGTGTCTGATTTATCCCGAACTCCCACCTGCCTTTTCCTCCCTCCCCCAGAAACAGCTGATGGTCGTTGGCATGGATGTCTACCACAGCCGCAGCAAAGGGATGCGCTCCGTCATCGGCTTCGTGGCCAGCATGAATCCGTACGTGGTGCTCCGGGGGGGAAGGCTTTGTTCCCGCTCCGCCCTGGGGGTGCCGGGGGTCCCACACCAGCGTCACCACTGCCTCCCCTTTCCCAGGAGAGGGTTGAAGGTAGTGCCTTCCCTAAACACTACACTCAGCAAGGTTTCCACCGGCGTGTTTGTGCTGGGTGTTGCTGGGTGCCGGCGCGGGCGGTGGTGGCCTTTGGCACGTCCTCGGTGCCATATTGCCGAGAAAGGCGCCGCGAGCGCCAAACCGGGGTCGGCTTCGGTTGTGCAACAACTCAGTGGACTTTGGCTGGTGAGGAGGGTGCCTAACGCTCATCCCTGCTCCATCCCCAGCATCCTCACCAAGTGGTACTCCAGGGTGGTCTTCCAGATGCCCCACCAGGAGATCGCCGACAGCCTGCGGCTCTGCCTGGCCGATGCCCTCCAGCACTTCCACGAGGTGAGGCCAAACTGCCCCCCAGCCTGGTGCTATCCAAAAAAAAAGGTTTAACGTCTCCCCAAAGGAAGGGAAAAACACCGCCGAGCCGTTGGCCCGAGCGCGTGCGAGCGAGCAAACATCTTCGGCAGCCTTTGGACTGGCCGCGGTGCCCGCAGCCACGCGTGCCCCAGGAGGCTCGCCCTTATCTCGGGAGCGTGCGGACCTGCCTGGAGCATTAGTTTGCACTGGGGGAAGTGCTGCATTCCGTCTCGGCACGTTATCAGCATCCAACTGCTGAGCCCTGGCCTTGTCCCGCGTCCCCAGCGTGAGAAAAGCAGCGTGTGATGGGGCCGGCAGGGACCCGGTCCTGGGATTTTCCCCATCCCTCTGCAGGTGCTGGGGAAACACCCCTGAGAACTGGAAGTGTGATGGTCACTGAACACTTGCCCGCGGGCAGGATGCGTGCAAACGCTGCTTCTCTCTGCCCTGCCATCCCCTTTGAAACTTGTTTTGGAAAGTTTATGATGGGGCTGAATATTTAGGGCCTTTCTGCCAAGCTCGAGGGTGGTGGGTTTAATTTACGGGCTCCGAGACCACTGAATTGTCAGCTCTGGAGGCTTGGTGGGCATCTAGTGCCCAGCTTCTTGTCAGGGCACGCATCTCACCCTGCCAGCCCATCCTGTGCACCAGGAAAACAGTGACCTCTTCCAATTTCTGCTTGCCCAGATGAACCACTGCTTGCCCAGGAAGATAGTCGTGTACCGGGACGGCGTGTCCGACAGCCAGCTCAACACCGTGCTCAAGTACGAGATCCCGCAGATGCAGAAGTGCTTCGACACCTTCGAGAACTACCAGCCTGGCATGGTGGTCGTGGTGGTGCAGAAGCAAATCAGCACCAACTTTTACACCCTCGTGGCTGACCAGTTCGTGTCCCCTCCTCCGGGGACAGTCATCGACCACACGGTCACCAGCTCGGACTGGTGAGTGGCAGCAGCGCCGGTTGCTTTCGGGACAGCAGCAAAACCTTTGTGTGCAGAAAAACTTTGTGTGCAAAAACACCTCTTGTGTGCCAAAAAAAAAAAACCCCAACCAACCTCACTTTGCCCTTCCCTCCCTCGCAGGCAGGATTTCTTTTTGTTGGCCCACTGCTCCCGCCAGGGCTGCAGCATCCCCACGCGCTACA